TTTTTGTCTTGCTTCTTGAAGAACAGAAAAGAAATCGGTTGATGGTAATCTGACTTGGGAACTCGCTCGGCTATGTTTTAACGTGATGAGGCGGCGAAGACGGGAATTACGTGTTTGCAAAGTGGCTCTGAAATGCAGTCGAGAACCGTGGCAGCGTGACCCCGAAAATGTATGAAATAAAATCGGAGGGACGGTTTCAACTCGAGGAACCGTCTGACGCTCTGGAATATAAAAAAGAACTTTCATCAAAGGGCATTAAATCAATTCAAACGTACAGTTTGGGATTGTCTTTTATTTTGTTTTGTGGACAAAGGCATGACTATGACCGACAGACATGTTTTTTTTTCCAGCACCAACTACTTTTTTGGCAAAGGATAAAAGACCACCTGTTGACCGCATGGGTCGGCTTTGCGCTCAAACCCATTTATGTTTTGTCAGACCATTCAAACCAATGGCACAGTGCAGGATTTCTTTCTTCCTCTTCTAAGTTTAATAAAGGCCTCAAAGATTTCATAAAATATTTCATGATCAGTTTTTGCCTATGAACTTACAGCCTTTCACTAACCGTTTTAGCATCGGAAATGTCTATTTTACATCTGCTTTCTAATTCGAACAGCCTTCATCTTTCTCCATTGTATTAACCTGTTAAATTTTGAAAATGTTAATGCTTCAGTCTTCAGACCAAGATCTCCATTCTACCATAACATTTGAATTATTAAACTTTGGCTTTGTACAAATATTACATATAGGTACTCAACAGATTGGTACAATAATTTGAAGATATATATTTATAAACAAAGTATAAATGAGGTAAATAACTCAGTTATTATTAGTAGTACAAGTATTACCTGTTTGTGTTTTAAGGAGTTTGTATATTCCTTAAACTCACAAATCGAGTGAAGTTGTGGCTAACTTTTATTTGATCCTTTTACATATATGAAATTCAGATTAGTTGGATCTGCGTTGTCACATCTGTTCCTGTGGCACTCGCCTGAAGCGTCACGTCCCTTGTGCGTGATGACGTCTCACCACGGCGGTAGAGCCCGCCCCCTACGTCACTTTCTCATTCTCGCTGTCCTTCTGTCAGCGTCGGGTTTTACGTGGAGTTGCAATTGAACCGGAGTAATTAAGAAAAGTACAAAGATGACCAAGCGGGTGAGTTTATTCGTAGCGAATATTAAAACTTACGCTCACGAAGAACACACGGCCCTGTGAACAGAACCCTAACTGGTACTTTAAGGACCGAAAGCTGTATTTTTTAAACACGTAAATGGAGCGAGTAGAATCAGGTGTCGTATGCAGCCCGGAAGTAGAACGCAGTATCTTATGACCACTGTGTAGCATGTAGCACTGTTAGCATTGTTGCTCTGGGTTTAAACTGAATTAACTCTTAACAGCGGCACTGAAGTGTATTATTGTCGTTAGCGTTGTGGAGGTGGACGTGTTGCCACGGGAAGAAACGTTATAATTGGCGTTCAAAGGGTTTAACATTAAATCAATCGATCAATGAAGGAAGTGTAACATTAACTTCTAAGTGAGCCTGAGGAACTCTTAACATGAGCTGGACTCTCCGTTAAAGGATGAAGTTTAAACAAAGTGTGTTTGTCACGATTGTACTATGCAGCTGTTTACACGCAGTAGTCAGTCAGTCAGTTATTCTATTGCATTATTTTCTTTAGTGAATATTGAAACATTTCCATCACTGTCGTATCAAATGACGTCAGCGGATGCCGGAAGAACATCAGATTTCTCAGTCAAAACCGCACACAGCGAAGAATTTACCATCAACAGTTATGGGAGCATGAAAGGTGGCGAAGTTCCCTTTGATTTAATACAGGAAACCAGGTCTCAAACTACAGACTACTAAATGACCAACAACACTGACCCAACACCCTGACCTTCACGGCGGCCCGGTTCCACAGGCTGCGATACCAGATCACGAACCGGTTACTTGTTAAACAATTCTGCTTGTTCGGTTTCATCTTTTTGTTGCCTTCTCATCATGTGAATTCAAAGCAACGCTTTCCTCTTCAGCACACTGTGACAAGAGACTTGTTGTTGTTGTTGTCTTTTCTATACTTAAGTTCACCTTTTTCAGTATCAAATTGTTTTAGTGTTATTCAAAAAATAAATGTTGGAGGAACAAAACATGAATAAATATCAGGATGTGTGACACCTGTTCTTTCCTACAGCAGCCAATCTAATATGTAGGAGAACTTGAACTGGGATGTGTTTCATGTTGTTGAGATGCGGGTCAGGAAGTGGTTCTCTCTTGGTATCATGTCGCTGAAATGAGAGTGGGTTGATCATATTTTTATCTCTTTAATTAGATTCTTATTGGTTCCTCACTCAAAGGAGAGTGTGTGTAGGTTAGTAGCATCGCGTAGGGGGTTTGCAGAATGCAACCAACTGAACATCTTTTACACTCATAATTCAAACTGGTTTGAATCCAGATCTACATGCTGGGAAGGTCTGGTGGGGGGGGGGGCGGACTCTCTGGTGGTCTTGTTAGTATTACCAGATTAGTAGACCAGGGGCCTCATTTATAAAACCTTGAAGATGATTTGCATAACATGCCAATATTATTGCAGAACGTATTTCACTTTTCTTTTTGAAAATGTGTTAATTTGTATTTCTATTTGTTTTACGCTGCAGTTCGATCAAACGGGTGTTCGTATTATTTATGAGAGGCAGTATCGGTATTTCTTTTACACAACAGTCTAGTTTTACACACTTTCACACACGTTTGCGTGTTTCTTGCATTTGCCGACGGTTCTGATTACACCCGTTTTTGTGCGTACGCATGGGTCCGAGCTTGCGTGAAGGGCCGCACATTTTTCCGTCAAGTTTGCTTTTTATAAATACCAATTATTGCGTAGAGAGCGGACGTACGCCTTCTTTTGTGCGTACGCAACGTTTATAAATGAGGCCCCAGGAGATACAACAATTTAAGTCTGACTTAGGAAATTGATCACCAGATTTTTATCCTTTCTTTTACCCCTTCAAGGCTTCCAAAAGAAAAAGCTTTGAGGCGACTGAAAAAAGAACCTTGAATGGCTTATTTCCTATTTACTAAGTTTACTAAGTTGGAGTAGCAGCTTTAAAAATCCCATCCGTCTGTGTGCCTTTTCAGATGATGCAAGCGGCTCGATGCCCGACGGACGACCTCTCGTTGACCAACTGCGCCATCATCAATGAGAAGGAGCCCCAGTTTGAGCAGTGAGTGGGAGGAGCGGGGACATCCGAGGGCCACGCTCCCTCTGCACCACACTAAATCCCTTTCTTTGCCCCTCATCTCTGTGCAGACACGTTACCGTGCGCAACGTAGCCCACAGGTACGTGTTCACCTTGAAGAAGGACTCCAGCGTGAGCCCCGGGACCATCGCCTTCAGCCTGCCGCAGGTACGGCATCAGCGTTCTCACAGAGCGAAGCGTCACAATTAGCCAACAAGTATTCCTCAATGCGCTATCTTCCTTCATAAACGGAATGTATTTTCTGAACAACGCACTGGGGAACACATGCACGGCGTTGAATGTAGGCATCGGTTTAATTTTATTTTTATTCCGCAAACACTGTTGACATCCAAAATGAAAATACTAGTATGTGGGGTGATATTCTTAATTCGAGAAGTTCTCTAAGCGCGGTGGTGCTCTGGGGGCTCTTTGGACCTTTTTGTCGTTGTCTCAATCTGTCTGTTACTGCTCTTCTTCCTTTTTGCCTGCTCTTCCTCCACCGCGTTGGCAGCCCGCCACGGCACACAGGTACTTCTGTAACCTCCTCAAGACGGTCTTATTTCACCACAAGAATTAATTTGGTGTCGTCCTTTGATCAACGTGTCAAAAACACAGCTTGCTGATGCATTTTGGTGTTGGGAAATAAGACCACGTCGCTGAAGCATGTAGCTGTCCCTTGTTCTGATGTCTGTGTCCCTCTGGGTTAACGAATCGGTGACGTGTGATGAGAGGAACTAAATGGATCTCTGTTCTTTCTATCTGCAGAGAAAGTGGGCCGGCCTGTCGATTGGACAGGAAGTTGAAGGTACGATTTGTGTGTAAAGCGAATGACTGTGCGACTACACAAATCCCGCAATGAATCTGTCTCAAAAAAAAGGTGCTGTCTGATATTTTTTACAGAATCCCTTTGTGTTAATTTCTAAAGCCGCATCAGGACATACATCACTTTATTTAAGACGCTGCGCTACTTGAAAGTCGCTGTGATCTGCTAAATTGTCAATAAAGTTGGAAAAAGACATGCACGACAAACCCACGGTCACAAAGATACTCATTTAACGTTTGATGGTTTTTGCGTGTCGCTAAATACCCAACTGAGATCGGCTTATGCCGTCCTGAAAGAGGATCCGACCACTGCAAACTACCACCGACCACGCAACCTGCCGCTCTGACAAAGGAACCTTCCACCGACCTTCTTTTTATTCCTCTGTGACATTGAGCCACTTTAGCTACATTTTAGATGCACAAAATAATCACTTTTTCAGCCTTTTGGTGATTACCTACCGCAATAGAAACACACGTCGAACCTTCACGTGTCAAGCGTCGCTTCTCGCTGGCTTGTGAAGGTCAACGCAACCCGCAGATTACCATTGTATGGGAGGGGTGGGCACCAGGGTGTAGCTATTATCCAGGTGTCACCAGAGGTGGGGGGGCATGAGAGACGGTGTAACAATACGGACGAGTCACCGCTGTCTGTCCCAGCCGCTGGCCGGCGTCCAGAGAAAGACGAGAACTATTCTTTGATGAAATATTTTGATGCCACCAAACGACGGGGCACCATCAAACGCTGTCTGCTCATCAGCCGTGAGAATATAATCCACTGAGGGAAAGAGCCTCCCGGCGCCTTCCTCTTTCTTGACACAGTCTTGAAAAAAACAACAACAAAAAAAACAATAAAACTGCCGTAAGCAGTTTTTAGATGAAGACCCAGATGACTTTTTCTTATCTATAAACCTCACCGCCTATGTTTTATTTCTTTACCTCCTTGCAGTAACAAACTACAAGTTTGACAAGTCCAAACATTGTATAAGCAGCATGACGGTGGAGATTGACTTCCTGCAGAAGAAGAGTGTGGACAGCAACCCGTACAACTCCGACAACATGGCCAAAGAGTTCCTCCAGCACTTCAACAACCAGGCCTTCAGCGTACGCCAGCAGGTGATCATGAGCCATCTGTGCTTCTTGTCCTGTTCATCTCCTACGTTTACAAGGAAATGAATGAATGAAAGAATGCAAAGTGTGTTGACAGTTGAAGCACGTGGAATTAATGTGCCTTCATTTCGTTTGTTGTAATTGAATGTGTTTTTTCTTCTTTTGTTCTAGTTTGCGTTTAGTTTCTGTGATAAGTTGTTCAGCTTATTAATAAAAGATATTGAGGCCATGGACCCGAGCATCCTGATGGGAGAACAAGCCTCTGGCAAGAAACCAAAGGTATCCGGCCGGCGACGTCTGTGATATTCACTGCTATTTTAGGCTTTTATACATGTTAATCATTGATTTATTCTTCTTATTTCTTTTTTATATTATTCAATGTGTATGTATGTATATATGTGTGTGTGTAATATATATATATGTGTGTATGGTTTCTCTCCTCAGATTCAGATTGGATTGTTGCTGGGAAACAGTCAGGTGATTTTTGAGAAGTCGGAGACGTCCTCCATGAGTCTGATTGGTGAGTGGCCTCGATACCTCGCAACTCACAACGGTTAGATGGGTCTTCTAATCTAAACAGCCAGCGCAAATGTTGAATACGGAAGATGAGGCCTCCACCATCAGAGGTAGAGATTGTTTCTAAAGAAAGACGAGTCTGCAGAAGGTATCTTCTTACAACCACAAGGTGGCACACTTCACTCATCTTTCTTTTCATTTGTCGCGACATTGGTGTCCTTCAGACGGCAGGTTACCTCCACTTGACATATTCTGCCAATGTGATTACTGCGATAAATAATATAATATAATCAGATATTTAATTCAAACAGGAGACGACAGAAACAGGTTTTTCAACGTAGTTATTTTGTTTAATCTTTATTTGTCGAATTAACATATTGTGACGATATGCTGCCTTTCTGTAAATCACCGTAAAACTTAAAGGTTCTCCTCCTCAAGCTTAACTTAAGTGTTTGTTTGTTTTTCTTGCCCCCTCCAGGGAAATCCAAGACCAGAGAGTCCCGCCAGTCCATCATCAGCCCGGACTGGAACTTTGAGAGGATGGGCATCGGCGGCCTCGACAAGGAGTTCTCCGACATCTTCCGCAGAGCCTTCGCCTCGCGAGTCTTTCCTCCGGACATCGTAGAGCAGCTGGGTGAGATTCTCTCTTTCGCCCTTTATTTTCCTTTTATTTCTCGCTTGCTGCCGATCAAAATAATGTGGATCACATCAGATTTGTCTCTGTCGGTAATCCTGTAAATTGTAATAAACAACTATTTGCCGGCAAGGTAACGACAGACATCCCCCAACACACACCCACTTATCCCAAAATTAACCATTTGATCCCAGATCTCGTGGTCAAACCTGTTGTCAAAAACCTCCATAGATTGAAAAACGCACTCGTTCCTTGAACCCGGTGCTACGTCGTTTAGCGTAGCTAAGCTAGCCCGCGGCGCGGCGGGGGTCCGTCCAGCGACCTTTCAGCCGGGGTGTCGGCCAGCTGGCCGCCGTAATGAGATTGCCGAGCCCCGATAGAGCATCCAGAAAGGTAGGGCTGTAATTGGCAGGCGTGCGGAGCCCCCTGGGAGCAGGTGCTGACAGCTTTTCTTTTCTTTTTCTTTTTTTGTGGCGCAGCAGAAGTCTGAGAGTTTCACCTTGTCTCCCCTTTGCTCCCAGAGGGTGAAGCGGGGCAGACGGACGCCTCAGTGTTTTCTCTACAAACTATATATTTTTTTCTTGTTGGAGAAGCCCCAGACCCTCCCCCCCCCCCTACCTGCCATCCTTCAGCAGGCCCAAATGGCAGCTCAGATGGTTATCGCGGGCCTCTCAATTAGTCTGAGCCAAATGTCATTAAGCAGGTGCAAAAGGCCATTAAAAGACCTACAGTGTAAAACTGAGCTGCAGGCTGCAGGTTCCACACTTGATCTTTACAGAGTAGTAGTAAAACAAAGTGACAGCAGAATGTTAGTTAGTTCATTTGAGTTTGATGTTTTCAGTTGGTCATCTTTTTCTGTTTCTTTGCACCTGTGTGTGTGTGTGTGTGTGTGTGTGTGTGTGTGGGGGGGGGGGTGGGCCCCAGATTCAGTGAGTTAACTAGCAAAAACATTTTTCCTTGTGTGAACTCCCGCGTCGGGGTTAACTTCTGTTCCTCCTGCTGTGTGAGCGTCTCCGCGTCCTGCTGGACCGCCGACACCCCCCCGCGCGTAAGCACTATAAAGGGATCCTGCTGTTCGGACCCTCCGGCTGCGGTAAAACCCTGATGGCGCGACAGATCGGCACGATGCTGAAGGCCCGCGAGCCGAAGATCGTCAACGGCCCAGAGATCCTAAACAAGTACGTCGGGGAGTCCGAGGCCAACGTCAGGAAACTGTTTGCGGACGCGGAGGAGGAGCAGAAGAGGGTGAGGGGAGGAGGCACGGCACACACACACTTTTACTTTGGTCTTTATATGTTCAGACAACTGCACTTCTGGACTTCATCAGGGACCCGGAACCTTTTCAGGAACTCAGTCTGTTGGGTCTGAATTCAGTTTTGAGGGTCAGGGGTGGTACTCTGGGAAGATACAGGGGCTTTGTGGGTGTGATTCAGCAGGGAAGATCCCACCCGGCAACGCCGCTTTAACTCGCGTACTGGTTCATTTGTAACATAAGGAAGATCTTAAGTCATTATTTTGAACGAGGGGAGCTCATTTATTGTGCTGTAGAACGTGTTTGTTACGTTCTAAAGCAGAAATGTAAAACCATCAAACAAGATTTACTCTGTATCAAACAATGGCCAAATACACAACAATACTGCGCTGCTTTCCAGTCGTTTGCATCTCTTAAATACTGTAAATTCAAAAGGATCCACTAAAGGAGCATTTAGTGTCGGGACTAGAAGGACCTGGAAGTCGTTGGTGAACTTTTAAGAGGTTTAAAGCACATGTAAAATAAAAACAACAAGAAGCCCAAACATTGGTGTTGCTTCCTGAGTCTGTTTTATATCGACTCCCAGATGCATCGCTAACACCTGCTTCTGCTGAACTTCTTATCTACACATCAGATAAAAAGTCTGTAAAATAAGTCAAACTAATTTCTCCAGGAGAGGAGAGATCTGCCCTTTAGCCAGACGTAGCTGTAATAACTCTGGTAAAGTTCTGGTGTGTGTGTGTGTGTGTGTGTGTGTGTGTCTTGACGTTTGTGCATTGAAACCCAGCGGTGATGGTCGGTTTGGATGGAGAGACACTAACGTTGAGTCTCACTCTTCACCACCTAATGAGGGGCTGGGCTGCTTTTGACCCCCCCCTTCCAGACCTCCCTACACACACACAAACCGTCCAGTGTGCAATAAGGACAGATCCACACCTGCTTAAAATGCTACAGCTGAGTCTGGCAGTCTGTAGATGGAGGGATAACCCCCCACCCTGCTGATCTCTCCCCTCTTTTCCATCTGACTCTCGGTCAGGGGTCAGTGTAGGTTGTCAGCAATGTCTTCGTCTTCATTATAGACACGGTTCTATGTAGTAATACTGTCATTGTATCTTTTATCCAAAAGCTGATTTGGGGGTAATATTCATTTTATTGTTACAAGTCCCTCATTTCTTCCGTTTCACCTCCTAAAAAGTCAGAGACTCTCAAATCTCATTTAAGCTTAGTTAGAGGAGCTCAGTTAGTGAACAACAACAAATAGTGAACAACTCATATTTCTTTGCCCCCCCCACCCCCCCCCCCCTGTTCCTTTCTGCTTGGGCAGCTCGGTGCGAACAGCGGCCTCCACATCATCATATTGGACGAAATCGACGCCATCTGCAAACAGCGCGGCAGCATGGCCGGCAGTACGGGGGTCCACGACACCGTGGTCAACCAGCTGCTGTCCAAGATCGACGGCGTGGAGCAGCTCAACAATATCCTGGTCATAGGTGCTCACACGGCCATAACGCCACTCAGGCTCTCCCCCTGAACATCTGCGCTCTTAACTCATCTGCCTTTACTTGGTTTATCCCTCAGGTATGACCAACAGGCCCGACATGATCGACGACGCCCTGCTGAGGCCGGGCAGACTGGAGGTGAAGATGGAGATCGGTAAGAAAGTGGAGCAATGCACCCGATTAAAACAAATCAAATAACTCTGTTTGTTTAAAGCTTCACACCTGCGTGTCCTCCTCCCTTCGCCTCCCAGGTTTACCGGATGAGAGGGGCCGCATCCAGATCCTCCACATCCACACCGCCAAGATGCGTCAGTACCAGCTGCTGGCCGCCGACGTGGAACTGAAGGAGCTGGCGGCGGAGACTAAGAACTACAGCGGCGCCGAGCTGGAGGGCCTGGTCAGGGCGGCGCAATCCACCGCCATGAACCGACACATCAAGGTACTCCCCGACAGTTTATGTGGCCACCCAGGTGAGGAAGGATAGAAGAGCCCAGGTGTGTGTGTGTGTGTGTGTGTGTGTGTGTGTGTGTATATATATATATATATATATATATATATATAAAGGAATACCATTACTTAATCAGTTGTTTTATCAGGTGCATAGGCTTAAATCTACACAGCTCAGTTGTACACAACAATAAGGTGAAGTTCTCATCTGTTAAGTGTTCTGCGCGCATAGACACACACACACACACACGCACACGCAGCAGCAGCAGATATTGGAGGGTGATGATAAACGACAGACAAGGGCCTTACACACTGTGACGTTTCTCTTCACTCCTCCAAACACTACTTCTTCCCTCCTCCTCCTCCATCTCTCCATCTGACCTTTCTGCTCTGAGGGAGTACATTGTCTGCTGACACAGTCGCAATCTAAATGTGCAATACTCCATGTAATGGGTTTCATTAACGGAGGAGTTGGGAGGGGGGCCGCGGAGTTCATCAGGGAACGAAAGCGTCTCACGGCGTGCTTATCGTTGTCTGTGTGTGTTTGTTGAAGGCCAGCAGCACGGTGGAGGTGAACATCGAGACGGCCGAGAAGCTGCAGGTCAGCAGACTCGACTTCCTGGCCTCGCTGAATAACGACATCAAACCTGTGAGTATTGACCTGTAAGATTTAGCTAGTTTTGGTGCTACTGCTTCGAGCTCCTTTCATTAGAAAGAGCTTCCCCCGACCTAATCCCTCTCGCCGTCTCTCCTGTCCAGGCCTTCGGCACCAACCAGGAGGACTATGCCAGCTACATCATGAACGGGATAATCCGGTGGGGCGACCCGGTGTCGGCGGTCCTGCAGGACGGGGAGCTGCTGGTGCAGCAGACGAAAAACAGCGAGCGCACGCCGCTGGTGTCTGTGCTCCTGGAGGGTTAGGACTCTCACACGCACGCCAACCAGCGCGCATCAGAGGCCACACACACATTCAATTAGAAAAACTGCAAAAATGGAAGGCTGTTGGTGTCAATAGAAACAGCCGATTGGTGATCAGTTCTCTCTCCCCCTCAGGTCCTCCCAACTGTGGGAAAACGGCGCTGGCCGCCAAGATCTCGGAAGACTCCCAGTTCCCCTTCATCAAGATCTGCTCCCCCGACAAGATGATCGGACACTCGGAGATTGCCAAGTGCCAAGCCATCAAAAAGGTAACGCTCGCTTCACAATGTAAACAAAGAGTACAAAGTAGCAAGTCTGTATCCTGCTGCTTTAAGTACAGCGGAGGCTGATGGGAATATAAATGCTACAGACCTTTCAGTCTGGAAGGTCTCTGTTTCGGTCCTCTTACCACTCTACAACAGGCCGTAGTTAACGTGAACGTGAATCTTTCAAATTATTACCTTAAATCCTTAAACCGGCCCTGATAAACGTGGAAGACATTTGTTTGTTGATGACAACAACTAAACCACCAGACGTTTACTAATACCACAAACGATCAAATCACTTCTTTTCTGCTGAACTGAACCAGTTTTTTACTAATTCCCCGCGATAGATATTTGAAGATGCCTACAAGTCCCAGCTGAGCTGCGTGGTCGTCGATGACATTGAGCGTTTGTTGGGTAAGTCGCTGCAATGAGGCAGGTGATGGGTTTGATTACATTTTAAAGACATGCTTTTTATTTGAATTATTATTTGAGCGATATTCAAGCTAAATGGCAGATATTCCTGTAATCCCTCTCATCAGACTTTGTCCCCATTGGCCCCCGTTTCTCCAACCTGGTGTTACAAGCTCTGCTGGTGCTGCTGAAGAAGCCCCCCCCAAAGGTGAGCGCTTTCGTCCCGGGGTTTCTTTTTTCCATTTATGACGTGCGCTCTGTGTGGTTGTCGGTCCCCGAGGTGGCAGAAAGAGGGCAGCAGATCTTCTGGTCTTCACATACTGAGAGGAACTGTCGGAGGTGTGTGTGTGTGTGTGTGTGAGAGAGAGTGTATGGTTATTAACGAGTGTTTTGGGCCTGGCCTCGTTGTGCTCTCAGTGAATGGTGGTGGTAGGGACCCATTTCTCATAGTTTCTTTGGTTGTAGTGTGTGTGTGTGCGTGTGTGTGTGTGTCTTTGTGTGCGTCTGTGTGTGTTGTTGACCGGGGTTTGTGAATGAGAGCACAGCCCCACTATGTGGCTGCATGAGAAGTGGCGCGGGGCCTGCCGCTGAATGCCTGGCTGCAGCGCTCCTTCTGGGGTTGTAAAGCGATGGGCCCAGCGGGGTGCCCGGGGGCCGCGGGGAGGGGGGGTGGGGGGGGACGCGGAGGAGAATGGGCTGTGTGAGAAGAAGCAAGGACCTGGCAGCGCCGGCGCCTGTGTGGCACCTCATCTGCATGCAGCATCGCAACCCCCCACGCCATGGGGGGGTAGCCTGCAGCCATAATCCCCCTGTCTGCTCGCCGCTCCTCTGCCTCTCCTGCCTTCGCCTTCTCCTCCTGGTCCTCCTCCAAGTTGTCGGCTTAGCGGGGCGACATTTCTTTCGCTTCTCCTCTTTCTCCCCCCGGCATTGTCCTCCGTTGTGCCGAGCTCTGTTCCGTTTGTCCCGTTATTTTCGGGTTCCTCGTGCGCCTTCTGGCCGTGACTTAAAGCCCCCCTGAAAAAAGCACATCCAGCGTGGAAGTCTTGCGGTGCGGCGGCGTTTCTTCGAGCTCACCAGTGAGAAGAGCTTTGGCAAAATCTTCTACCGCAATATCTGTCTTTTCAAATGAATATTTTCTAATTTAATGAACTTTTTTCAAAACGATGGCCTCATAAAATCATCATAAACTGACCAACCAACTAAAAGAACAAAGTCGTCTGCTTGCACTTTTTGTCTAATAAAGAAAAGTCCTTCCTTTGATTCTTGCTCCTAGGATTTCATTTGACTCATTTCACCCACTTATCTCAGTGTGTCTGTGCCGTGGAATCAAAAAGCACCTTAATCAGGTGCTGATGAGAATAAAGTAGCTAAAGAACAGAAACAAATGAACGGCCGAATAGAAAAGAAGGAACTTGAAGTCCGAGGTGCCGTCTGCTTCTCTTTCAGGGTCGCAAGCTGCTGATCATCGGCACCACGAGTCGTAAAGACGTCCTCCAGGAAATGGAGATGTTGAATGCTTTCAGCACCACCATCCACATTCCCAACATCTCGAGGGGAGAGCAGCTGGTGGAGGCCCTGGAGGTACCAGACACACACACACACACACACAGACGAGGCAGCGCTTCCCTGCTCTGCATAATGAACTCTGCTGAGGACTCTCCGCTCTGCGTCTCGTCCCTGCAGCTACTTGGCAGTTTCCAGGAGGTGGAGCGGGCCAGCATAGCGAAGGCCATGAAGGGCCAGAATCTGTGGATCGGGATAAAGAAGTTGCTCATGCTGATTGAAATGGCCGTGCAGGTGAGGAAGAGATTCTTTGGGGTTGTTTTTTTTTCAGCCGTAGAGATCACTCGTCTGTCGACTTCTTTGACTCGGACCTCGACAGCCATTGGGTGGATTGTCAGGAAACATTTGGACGGATGTTTAGAGTTTCCAAAAGAATAACCAAATTCATAAAAGCCAACAAAAACACAACAGTTCTTATTTTCAGGAGTCAACACACTCAGGAAAACACAGTTATGATTATTATATTCAATTCCTGCCCGTAAATCCCTCTTCGTCGTACATTGGCAGATCTTTGCATGTTTAATTAACCACGATGGCAAACATGATGCCCACAAAACGTCACTTTCAACTTTCAGCCTTTAACGTTTAACTCGAACGTTCAGGTCCAAGAGACAGATCTGCTAGGGTTCTTTCCAACAACCAACCTATTTCTGGCTTAAAGATGTGTTGTGGTGAGTGTAATGCCGGTGTGTAACTCCATGACAGAGAGGGGGGGGGAGCATGGGCGCAATGTCTTTTTCAATAGTAGTCGAAAGCGGTCTGAGCCTGTCGTTGCTCTTCCATGACACATCTGGCCGGCATTCTCACCACTCAACAACCGTCGCAAAGACCTGCCATCTATTAGCTGGAATGAAGAAAAACAACAACAACAACAAACTGTGTGGCTTTCCTGATGAATTGTAGAGCCGGACGATCCAGAACGTCTCTTGTTCACGAACCGTTTGAATGTTTTAAACCGTTTTTTTGTGCACTTACTATTTAGAGCAAAATCAATACAGATCAGTCGTGCAACACGTGTACGGCATGTAAAAGAAAAGAAACCTTAAACCCATCAAAAATCCAGACCACCAACTCTCAGCGGACTGTTGGTTTCCTGTCAACACGTCAGTTGTAAGTATGCAGATGAGTCGACAGGTCAGAAGTCCACCCACCTTCCATAAGCTGTATTTAGGGGTTCTGCGGTTTGGCCTAGGAGTTTTTTTTTTTTTACTTCTTTTTTAGGTCCCCATTGACATATGTACAGATATTTCTGTTTGACGTGGAATGAAATGATTTAGTTTCCCCTCCTGCCCGACTGTCCTCGGGTGATTATCAATGTGATTTAGTTCGGAGGAAGCTCTGTTTATTTAAAGGCGACCACGAACAAACAATGCATCTCCATTCAAAAGCAATGCGCTTCATTCCACGTCATTTACACACACACACACACCGACATTGTGCTTGTTCTCATCCTGTTAAATAACAACATCACGGTGGGGGTCGGTTATGTGTCAGTGGAGGAACACGTCGCTCCAGATGTGACAACTTCACTGCGTGTTCTCTAAATAAAGAGCCGAACCTTTTTAAACTTGGCAGCGACCGGCTCAGTTTGAGGGTTAAGTTCGGATACAAAGACGCTGATGCCGCATCCAGATGTTTATACATAAAGGTCCACCTCCAGAGGCGGTGGCGGGCTCGTGGCTGCAGAAAGTGACCCGAGTCTGACAGTTAATTTCTCGCCCTGACTGCGTGCCTGTGGTATGTTAATGATGTGTACCTCCTGGTTGTCGGGGCTGGATGCTGTGTAATTGCTGTGGTATGCATAAATGCAGCCATGCGCCCCCCCCCACTCTCAGCCTGAAGAAGTATGAATCTGTGTTTGCCGAGACACGCTGCAAACAGCCACGCAGCCACACACACACACACACACACACACACACTCTCTATCTCTTCTCCTCTCATTCCAACGCTTCAGCTCTCATGTCTTCACTCTGGTAGCTACAGGCAATTCCAGACTGTAAGTTATTGCATAGGTTTTTCCATTAATTATAACTTCCTCTCACCCCCCCCTCGCCTCCTCTTCCACAATCTCTGCGTGGGTGTGTGTGTGTGTGTGTGTGTGTGCAAACTGGAGTGTGATCTCCAGGACCTGCCGTTTCTCCTGTTTCAACATTAAAGCTGATTCTGAATTTTTTTAATTGAAAAGAGCTGCACCCACAAAGATTAAAGAATACCTTTTAAATGAAATAAAGTAACTTTTAATGACGTTACATGCACTAAGAAGTATTCTTTCTATTTAAAGATGGATTCTGGCTCCAGAGTTAGTAAGTTCCTGAGTCTCCTGAGGGATGAGGGAGCGTAAGTATTCTTTTCCTGTTTTTATGCCGCCGCGTCAGTGACACCGCGCACAGCCGAACCTGCTTCCATCTAGTTTCTAACTGTTTGCATTTCCATCATTGCATCAAGTATGATTTGATAATGGACATTTTGTCTTTTTCTTCCCCCTGCAGACTGGGTTCTGATAAGTTTATCTAGACTGAGTGGAGCGACGTTGTAAAATAAGAGTCATCCTTCAACGGTAAGAAGGCTCCGTTATCGGACTTGCAGTACTACCTCCTGTCTGATGTCGGTAAAGATGTTAAAAATGGACCAAAGCGCACTAACCGAGTGTGAGCCTCATTCTAATGTGTTCAGCCTCTAAAGATAGACCAGCGCCTTTCTCATAGAAATACCTGCTCACATTTATGTGATGTTGTGGAGTAAATAAATTAGTGGAAAATGTGGAGCTGTTGCTTCAGTAGTGCACTTGTTCTTTATGCCTTATTCCTTTCTGGGGGTTTGTCTGTTTAACTTTATGGACGTGCATGGCGACTTTTTTAAATTTTATTTTGCACACTATAATCACCGAAAACAATGAGAACAAACGCACAGCGCCGGGAATTTCACAAAATAGGATTAGAAAGTTCCTCAGATAACGGGAGAAGCCATTGTCCCACCTCCGCATGTGGATAGTGGCAAAGTTCCAGGAGACATTCCTCTTCTTTTCTCCTTTTTTTAGTTATCTGGCTAATCCGGCTCTGCGAGAAGCTCGTCCCAGGGTGACAACGAACAACAACAACAACAGCAACAGCAACAGAAAAAAACAGCAACTTCGCAACTCGCAGCCGGAGGTTCGCCTCCTGTCATCCGCGCCTCGAGAGACGCGCCGAGTGGTTAGCACGCCTAAAAATAGGTCGACTACACAGGTGCTCTCCTGTGGCGGCACGTCTCCTCCCCCCTCCCCACACCGCCCCTCTCGCCCCAGAAGAGGATATGACTTCCCATCCCCGACGCTCCTCTCGACACTGCAGCGTTTCTGCAGCCGGGCAGAACCTCCTCTTCAGCACTCTGGGAACGTGGAACACACAAACGCACACACACAGACAGGAGCGACGTTCTGTAATCTTCATGTGACGCCCCAAGAATTTCTTTGGGATGTTATATATATATATATATATATATATTTATGTAAAAATATTTAGAAGTAACGGCTTCTAGACGCTAATCTCAATACCGTTGGTTTAAATCAGACGTAAGTTTCTTCTTCTTCTTAACACATTAAGTGCTTTATCTTCTGTGACCGTGTCTTTTGTATTTTATGAATAAATTAATGATATTGCTACAAATAACAAGAAGCATTTTGTGATGTGAACGAATGAAGTCACCTCACACCCTCGTGCTGCTCTAAAGAAGTGATTTCATGCTACAGGAGAACAGTAAAGACTAAAATAAAACATTTCATTCTGCCGCAGTTTTTGTTTTAATAACCAAATGTTCCTGGCATGCCGAGCTCATGAGGACGTGTCTTTCATAATCTAGTGTAATGAGGTGAAGCTACTCGGACATCCGCGGTTAACCTCCACAGCGTCTACTGCTTGTGCAATAATCCAAACCCAGCGTTTAAAAAGTAGCTGCAGAGCGCTTCTGTTAACATGCGAGTTTAATTCAACACATTGAACCAGAGCTGCAGAACTATCAGCAGTTGTGTTCAATGATGAGGTGTGAATGTCTCCTGATAGTGTGTCTTCATTGCATGACTACGCAGCAAACTAATAGCCAATTCTTTAAATATAATCCATGTTTTTGACAGGCATTATTTTGTACTTTATTGTAAATAAATCCCATAAAAACACCAAAACCCACAATTTGTTTCTCACACTACAAATTTGACTTGAATGTTCTATTCATCCACATTTAGTGCTCTAGTTAAGTGAGTATTTCAAGCTGAAAGAACTGTGTGTGCTCATGATAATAATAACAACATTATTTTTAATAGTTTTTGGCCAACAATGGAGCTCGAAGGCACAGGATGACGATGTCTCATTGTTGGTTCTTTCGATTCCATTTGTTCACAACAATAAAGGTCCTTTAAATGCCTCAGCGTGTAAATGTAGAAGAGATTAGCGGACTGGATATGTAACTATTATTTAATCTGCATGAAGCACTTTATGTGAGCATGAACAACTGGCTACAAAGCAAAAAGCACCAGAGACAGTTTTGTTCTTCAAATATATATAATCTTAGTTCAGTCATACAGATATATACATTGTATAATAAATAATATTTATAAAAACAACATTTACGATTATAAAATAAAAAGGGAATTATTCACTTTAAAACATTTGTACAAAACTTTGGATATAGCGGGAGAAGTGTGGAAGGCGACGACACCAATGCTAAGCTAAGCTAACAGAGAGAGACCGGCTTCCGAGGAAGCGGGTGGGGAGTGTGGAAACCTCGCACAGTTTCTTCCACCACAGTGAAAGAGTCCGGTCCCGTTTCCATTCACTTGTGTTTGTCACTGGCAGCCGACACACACACACACACACACACACACACACACACACACACACACACACACACACATTAGTTCTCTGGCTCCTGATAAAGTTTCCCATGTTTCTTCTGCTTAATGTTCTCAGAATCTTCATGAACTGGAAGTCTTTTAAAACGAATCACCTCGGGTTACGGTGGGAATAAAATTACACAATTGTCCTTTAAATATCTAAAAAAGAAAACCAGGAGCTCGCTCGGGTGGTTTTGTGGGTGTACGCGGGCGTAGATTATAAATCAGACTTCCCTAAAGCTTCAATTGTCCAACCAAGAGAAATTGCAGAGGGAAGGAAGACAGGGATGAGGGAAGGAAGGGAGGAAAGGATAAAGGAAGGGTGTGAAAGCCAATCAGAAGCTACTCGGCTCCACATGTCTTCACACGTCCCCCTTATTTTTTTACAAGGATGAAAGATTTTCCTCCTAACAAAATCCTCTCCAATGAACCCGATGATTGTTAAATGAAAAACAATAGATCTCCCTAGAATCACTTTTCCTCTTGAAACCAGAATTAAAGTGGATGCTGAAAACAGCCTTGATTTTTAATGCAGGAGCGCGTTGCATTATGAGGGGTCATGAGCGAAGAACAGGAACAAAGTCGTCCTTCATGAGACGAGTTTGACCGCATCAACAACGCTTCAGATGTTAAGCCTCTAGGAAGTGGCTGCACAGAGACACTCGCACACACAAACAAACACACACATGCACACACTCGCACACGCACGTGTATGGCTGTTGGTGGAATGAGCATGCTTGTTCACACACATGCCGCATACCTCCAGCCCAATGGTGATATTTCAAAAATGCAGGACTATAAAAATCAAGAGTGTAGCATATATATCTTCTCCGGGTTGACTAGGGCGGTCGAGTCAGCCTGTGTGTGTGTGTGTGTGTGTGTGTGTGTGTGTGTGTGTGTAGGGGAGGTGGGGGGTTCACCAGCTCAGTAGTTTACATAGGAACGGGTCCTTTCGGTTCAGTAGTTACAAAGTCATGGTCTCCGGCCAGTTGGAGCTCGGCTTAGTTCCAGAACCCCCCCCCCCCTCAAAAAAAGACAGCCGAGACGTGCCGGAGAGGTGAGGTGTTAGTCAGAAGATGTTTTTTTTTTTTTCAAAAGCAAATAAAGTCTGATAACTTATTTTTCTTTTCTTTTTCTTTTTTTGCTGCATCAACAGGTATAAAAGTGTTACTGTACGTGCAACACAGATTGTTGTGCTGGCATGAAGGGGGGAAATAAATAAAGACAATGGGGAGGGTTCCAATGCTGGAAGAATGGGGGGGCGGATTCTGGGACAGGGTTTTTCAAAATAAAACAAGTTGTCCTTTGCTGGCGTGCCATCAGGGCCTCAGTGAGTGAATGGATGAAGGAGTCAGTGAGTGTGAGTATGTTAAGCGTTTGGAAACATGGGAAGTCGTGCAGGAGGGCGGAGCGTGGGGGCAGCACTTGTAGTCCAGCAATCAGCTTTGTCCCTCCCTCACTTGCACGTGTGCACGTCGTAGACGCGCACGCACTCCTGGCAGCTGACGTAGCAGCACCAGTGGAAGATGCAGTGGCACTTCTCCTTGCGTTTCTCAGTCCGGGTGTTGTGGCCGCGGCCGCAGCACAGCAGGTCGCAGCCCTCGATGCCGTGCGACGACACGTTGCAGGCCCGGTCGCGCGTCCCGAAGGAGCCGGTCTCCGGGTTGGGCTCGCAGAAGTTGGGCGAGCCCTCGTAGTAGACCAGGTCGCGCTCGGTGGGGTGCTTGAAGAAGTTGTACTTGACGCGCAGGGTCTCCACCCAACCGCGGGACTCGCGGTGCTTCTCCACCACCATCTCCGAGGCGCTGTCGTACTTGTCCTTCAGGTAGTCGCCCAGCATGCGGAAGTCGGGCTGCGCCCACCAGCACGTCTTCACCTCGCAGCTGCCCGACAGGCCGTGGCATTTGCAGCGCAGGTGCATGTGGTCGAGGATGGTCTGAGAAAACACAGGAGACACTTTTAATACTTTCTTTTAAGCAAATTGACCCTTTGCACAGCTGGTGTGTGAGGCCATTAACCACAAGGGATTCAAGGTGATGATGCAACAGAATCGATCGGTTTGCTGCGTCTCTGAATTGCCACTTGCTAGGCTGTGAACTGGAGCCGTCTACACCTGCCCGATGAAAAGCTCCTCAGAGCCTCCGTCGTGGGCTACAGGCGGTGGGTGGTGGTGGTTGTGGGGGTTCAAAAAGGTGGAGCCACCTCCAACGTGCCGGTCTCAATCTGACAGCTGACTCGGTGCTCGTGGGGCAGCGAAGTCGGTCACTGCCGAACACAATCTGTCGGAAATTCTTACGGCGAGAAATTGTGTAATGCAGACTGAACCAAACCGCTGAAGACTCGCGGAGGGGGCCAAGAAAAACAACGCGCCACCGTTTGCAATTTCTTTTAAGTGTCATGCAGCTGTGAACTTCAGAGGCTGCGTGCCGCTGACTCCCTCTGAAGTCCTGACCTCGCACCGCCGCCAGGCTTATTGCACCTTCTCTCGCGTTTTGATTTTTGTTGCGCTTTTAATTCGCCGGCTATATTTAGCTGCAGAATTCCCACAGCCGGGGCGAAAACGCAGTTGGCAGCGGCACCTTTGGCTGAGGAAGGGAGATAGTGAGAGGGGGGTCTATGACATCACTTTGTGAGCTTGTCGTGCCGACAATAAGACCCAGAGGGCCCTTAGGGGACGGGGGCGGGCGGGGGGGGGCCATACGGCGGAGCGTGAGATGGCCAGGTGGAGAGGAGGCTCCTGACTCCCGCCGTTTCCCCGGCTGCTCCTGTGCGCTCACATCAAAGGTCTGGCTCGCTGCCGTGTGGTCCCTCCGTTTGCCCCTCGGCGAGCTGCCACGGAGCCCATTTCTTATCCGAGCGGTGACAGCAGCCAGTGATGTTTTAAGTCCCCACCCCACCCCCCCACCCCTCCTCCTCATCCCCCTTCTGTAACTCACTCAGGTTGTTTGACTGTCAGGGTTGTTTTTTTTTCTCATTGTGATGCAAAAGGCATGAAAGGAGAGGTGTGGAGCTCAGGTGAGTAATTAACCAGTCAGTCAAAGTCAAGTGCTCACTCTTCAGGGGGAAGTCAGAAATACGCAGACAGGTTCAAATGCCGAATCCAACCCACCCTCACGTGAATACAGTCTAGTGTGTGTACCAAGTCAGGTCGTTATCACAGAAGAGCGGCGCCACCATTCCATGTGCACTCGCGTGGCGGCCATGTTGAGAGCCAAGTGGAGGCAATCGGAATTTTAAATTTAGCATGATTCTTTTCTGTGAACTGCTGTCGATTTAGATTACTTGTTGCAATCTGTGCGGCGGTACTTTTTGTGTGATTGGCAAACCAAAAAGGATATCGACCGTGTTTACCGAGCGGCCCGCCTCGTTGTTGTGTCGGTTCATCGCCGAGCGGGCGTCCGGGCGGTTCTCCCTGGCGTCGGCGAACTCCCTGGACACCAGCACGCCAAACTCCGCGTCCTCGCTGCAGCCGCCCCACTTCCAGCCCTCGCCGGGGGGGCCCTTGTGGTGCGAGTCGCAGCCGCACATGGTGGACGTGCCCTCGGCGCAGGAGCGCGTCACAGCGAATGCCACGCCCGCCGAAGCTATGGCGTGGACGAACGCCGACTCTCTGGTGGCTGAGGGGGAGGGAAAACGAGAGAGAGAGAGAGAGAATGTGAATCAGATAGTTTCTGCTGCCAACATCCAGACTTTTCAACACAATTTCATAGTAAATAATAATAAAATAAACTTTGCCGCCCTCTATTATTTTACAATATGCAAGCATGACGCTTCGAGGAAGCGCGCACTACGCCAAGGAGCCTCAAAGCAGAGTCCCCGACATCACACCCATTGTGGTCGTTGTCAGGACGGCCTAACGCTCAGTGGGATCTCGGTGACCTCTTGTCATCCCTGAGGTGTGCTGCTTTGCATCTGGATAGTGTTTCAGGAATGTTGTTAACCCCTCCCCCCTCCCACCGACCCCCCCCCCCTGCTCATGGCCCAGGGCCTTCTGGTGAAACCTAGCGGTGTGTCGGCCCGTTTTTTTTTTTTTTTTTCCTGATGGAGTTACGCCTTCTTTTGAAGGCGACAGCTTATTATGTAACCAGACACCCATTGTTTCACAATCACTGCACGCTTTACGAGCTCACCCATTACGCTGGCTGTGTAACAGACACGCAGCACAGACACGCACAGACGGCCAGCAGTAGGCCGGGCGTCTGAGATACAGAACTCTTGAGTTTTTAAATTTATACAAACACGACCAGAGAATTGAAGTCATATTTGTGAGACCACAGTGGCAGCTAAAGCCAAAAATTCCACGAGGTTTTCCGCTGCCAATAAGGCTTTCGAGACCCGATCCGGATCGAGTTCACAAGCCACAAACAAAGTAAACCGATGTTTGGCTGAAGGCTGGTCATATTTTCCCACCCTGACAGTGTCTGCAAGCAAAGTTACAAAACTGTATTCCGTTTAACATTTGAGAATAAATTACTTTCTGAACCCATGTATCACACTATGCTATTCAATCTAAAAACGTATTTTACTGTTCGCTACCAGTAAAAGGACACAGTTTTACTCTAAATCCCCAGTGCGCGATTGGACGACACTCCCTCCTCAGGTCGGGCATCCCCGCTCACCCCGGCCGGCCTAGCCGGGCCCTCCACAACGGGGGCCTGTGAGCTCTTGTCCCCTGGAGCTCTGGCCGGTAGCCATGGCTAGCGCTGCTCCTGCTACCTGCTGGGCCCATCAATCCGCCTTTGTTTCCCTTGTGTCACACTGTATTATCCTCACAAAGGGCCCGGCGACTCGCGCCCCCACAGCCCCGCTCGGCCCGGAGCTGGCATTCCCTAAACTCCCCGCCACCCCCCCCCCAATAGCTCTCTCCAGCCACCCCTCCGCCAACACCGTGAGCTGAAATCCCCACACGCCACCACGCCACCTCAAACCCCCACTTCCTCCCGGCATCCACCAACCGCCCCGCCAACGCGGTGGCTCGGGCGGGTGTTTAGGGTTAGCTCCCGCCTCCCTAACTCCAAACTTTTTAAATTCACCAAAGTGAGACTCGTCTGTCCGTCCGTCCTTCCTTCCTTCCTTCCTTCCTCCCTCAGCCTCCCCATCCCAAAGCGCACACAGCCGGGCTTCGGCTTGGGAGAGATCCCCTTTCAGCCCGTTTTCATGACAGAGTCAAAAGGGCGTGTGAATGGGGCGTCCGTGGGAGCCGGACTGTGTGAGGCGCGCACTGGTCTTCATGCACAGTAGGGGTTGAGCGGAGCCCCCCGGCCCTTTTCTATTGCCTGTAATCTCATTTGGCCTCCCCTCTCCCTTTTATTTGACTGAGGAGCTTGGACTGCTCACACTGCCCAGTTGTGTCCGGATCCATTCCCCTCTGACTGGCGGGGTGATTCATTTCCAATCAGCGGCCTCGCTCATCACACATACACGTCTACCTTTTTGTAATTAGGGGCCTTGAGGCCTTAAGCGGGACACCTGCGCATATTATTTTGTGGGATTCTCTAAATTGAGGATATCATACAATTAGTATTCTGCTCACAAAGCGCCTGATGGATGTCTCCAGTATATCAGCTGCGCTTGTCAGGCCCCGTTGACAGATGTTCACCGCGTTGACCCTCTTTCATGTACGACAGTGTAAACACGGTCGGGGGGAAAAAACTCTGAAGACAAATGCTACAATGGAGGCAAAGATGGGATGGAAGTCAAATAATGTGTCGGAGCTTGTACCTGCGCCCATTTCTCACTGCAGAGCGAGAAAGGTGTATATTTCTGTAATTGCCTCGGTTAGGCCCAGAGAACAGTGCTGAGCCTGAGGGTGTTCGTTTTGTAGCAGCTTGCAGTAGCTTCAGCCACAGTTTTTATACTGTAGTGGTTTGGCACGGACGGTTTTGAATCATCATTCATTTCCAACTCCGAGCCTTGGATACATGTGTACATCGTCGTTCAATGTACCGAGCAGAGCGTCGTTTACCTTTATCCAGCACGGGGCCGAAGATGGCCAAGTTGTCCTTGATAGTGGTGCAGTTCCACCGTCGGCCCCTGAACTGGTGTTGGCACTCCTGGATCCCCAGCTTGACCCCCTCCGCCACGCTGGGCATGATCTCGATGTAGTTTCGACAGAAGCGCAGCTGCTTGGGCACCAGGCCGGGGATGGAGCCGCAGAGGATGGGTTGGGAGCCCAGAGACGAGTACTGCTGCCCGAGAGCCAGCGACCTGTGACACGGGGGAGAGCGAGAGTGTTGTGAGGAGGGGTTCCTCGCCACGACCAAACCCTCGCAAGGGTCACCAGCTAAAAGTAGCAGCAAAAAATGGCTTTTATGGAGAGATTAGTGTTCATGGCATAAGGTAGGTTAATATTTATTTATCCGGTTCTTGATTTATAACATTTATACATTCTTAATTTAGCTGGTCACAGACGTAATGCCGTAAACAAATGGTGTAACGTTGGGAATTCAAACAACGACTGTTTTTTAGGTTTAGGCATCGCAGCCGCTTGATTAAAAGAAGCGTCATGGTTGAGTTAAAAATGTGTATGTTTACTATGCAACCAAAGTAGGGAGAGTACGTAACTTAAAAATAACTGGGCTGTTAGTTTAGAGAGACGTTTCCTACTGCTCCTTGTGTTCAGACAACATTATATTGTCTGAACACAAGGAGCAATATATTTTGCGCAGATATCCTGAGAAAATAGTTTTTGCAGAGAAACAAGTATAATATATATATATAGATATAAATCTATATATACACGCTCATAGTAAGGTGTAAAGCCCTGTTGCTGTTGTAACGTATGTCATACGATGTGGGATTGGGGATGTTTGTTTGGGAGGCGGAGCTAATTAACAGCGATAAATACTGTTGTTTTTTTGTTGCCCCCCCCCCCCCCCCCCCATCAGGGTTTACAGGGACACTTCAGGGCAGGGATACAAGCTATTAGTTCGTACTCTTTAAGTGTTTCCACTTGTTAGTATACACAGATCTGCTGATCCCACAGATAACACACGAGAACCTTTCTGCTTGGAAAAAGGCCCTCACTCTCTCTTGAACAATAAAACACCTGCGTCTGCAGTTCCATCCCCGATCTGCGGTTTCCCCTCTGTGGCTGATTGAGACAAGAACGACGAAGCTTAAAGTCGGACGGCATACCTGAAGATACGTGCCTCACCGGGAGGCTGCGAGTGATTAATCACCCCGCCGAGACAGCCCCAGATCGGCGCGCGATGCCATAAATCATTATGGTCTCATTCAGGTAATTCATTTCAATTGCTTTATATTTCTCTTTAAATAAAAGTGCAAACGAGGGAGAAAACCGGCTGGCCGTGCCCATGTTTTGACAAGCTTTTTGAGATAACAAGCTCAAACAGAGCTGTGAGGGTATCTCCCACAAGGCCGCGCGTTTGCCGACTCAGGTTTCTTGTTTATTTATCTGACGCGTTTCTGAGCGGGGGCCGCCGCGTTCTCGCCTCACAATGGGATGTGTCGGTGGACATCGCGGCGCTGGAGGCCGCAATGGGATCACATGGGGAACAATTGACGCCAATCAGATCAGAGCGGTGCTCTGGGATAAGCTCAGGACGACCCCCCAACCCCCTGCAGGGCGCAACCCAACCGTGGCAGCCGCTGACTGATGAGTGCAGCGCCGTGCCCCACCCCAACACAACAGAGTCAAGCCATTGAAGTCACAGAAGGGGAACCCCCCTTCTGCCCCTTTGATAGGTTCTCAACTTATGAGCGCTGTTGCTCTTTACATAATGCTACAACTCAAAAAAGAAAAAAAAAGCCTCCCCCCCCCGCTTTCGCCTCCCGGCTCAAATATGTTGTTGATCTCAGGTGGGAATTGCTCTCGGGTTTCACAGCCGTACACATCGGAACATGTGACTGCGTTGTTTTGGTTTCATAGCTTGTGTAATGGAATATGTGATGATTCCATCATCGACCCGAAAGACGCTTGCGTTGTTGGCTTCCCGACGCACGACAAACAGTTCTAACGTTTCAGCACGAAACGGCGCTCGTTAGGAACCGCACGGTTAAATAAGCTGTTGAAAACTCAAACACCGCCTGACACGCATGACTCAGGAAGAACGAGTCTCTTCACATTCAACTCAATAATTCAAACTACAAAAATATATTGCCAATTTGATGATCCCATGCAGTAATGTGATCAGCGGTCATCAGTTGCATCCGTGTGTCTTGTCTCAAGTTTACCAGAGCGAGGGCGGCCACATTAGCTCATGCGCTGGGTCCCAACCCCGCTGACAAAAACCGAGTGCAAGTGTTGCTGACTTCACTCCGTCTGGTGACTGAGTGACTAAGGGCCCATAATTACACTGTCTGCTAGCGTGGTTTCTGCCCATCAATCTCTCAGGCAGCCGCGGGACAGACCGGAGTGGGCGATGCCCCTGCACACAGGGCTTGAATTTGAACCTCCTGACGTACCGTGCTCTGCAGCAACATCCGGCGGTTGGCTCACAAAGAAAATCTCTCCTGTCCAAGTGAGACATCGCTACGTCTCGGGCTCTATTCAGGACGGCTAAACCGCTTACCCACCACTGTATGCACTAGATATTCTGGCTTTGCCAGTGAATTTGCGAATTTTTGATGGCATCAACTAGCTAACCGCATGGGACTTTGTGGTGGACATTGCATGTTTAGACTGCCGGCCGTGGATCTGCCAGCCTATTTGTCTTGGTTTGCAAAGGATGTGCCTCACTTGATCCATACGGACAGATGAAAGGGGATATATTTTTGGCTAGGTGATAATGAGAGTCTTAACCCCGAGGGGTGATGAGGCGTATCGTGCTAACAGACCCACCCACCTACACACACGCATGCAAGCGTGCCACATGTGAGCCATCCTGATCCTGCCTGCTTTGCCTGACTTCTGGGAAGCCACAAGCAACGTGTCTCAACCGAGCGAGGGAGCTGCAGACGCGGAGACCTCCGGAGAGGCAGAATGCCGGGGGAATCCGCTGCGGGGGACGAGACGAGCAGCAGAGAAGCAGCAAGCGGCAGCGCTTAGCAGGTGCATGCCCGGGCAGGTCCATACGGGGCCTCTACTGGCCTAAGGTGGGGAGGGAGGGAGGGTGGTTACGGCTCGGTTGGGGGTGTTTCTCCGTTTTTCTAAAGTGGTCTGATGTGAGAGTATGACGGGCCGCTGGAAACCACAGAAACTCAGCAGAAGAAACAAAGGGATTCCACCACACACCTCGCAGAAGAGTGGAAATTCACACAATCAAGACCGTAACGGTGTCAACAAAAGACCCAGTGCCACAATCTGGAACGGAGCTGGAAAAGTTTCAGTTTCCTGTATTTTCAAATGGTGTCTATGAGCGTAGAAATTGTACAGTTGCAGCTGTTATTGTGGGAGGTCTTCATTACAGGGGTCAGTGCATCAAAAATATCTGTGTCTGCTTTTTTTTGTGAAAGCCTCTTATGTCCAGAGGCAAAGAAAGTACCAGGTGACCCTCTGAAACCTGTTGAGCAGAACATGACACTTGACCTCGCCGGCTTTGACCTCATGGCCCGCAGAAACAGTGTGAAGTTCATGACCGGGGCTCCCATACACAAACATCTGAGAGGATGCTGGGTGCTGGTCCCCGGCTTGTTCATCAAACCCTCTTCGATCCGGTGCTCAGATTCTACTGTTATGTAATCTTCAATATATTTTGTCAGAGATGCTGCTCATCTATTAGAAAAGTGAATGAAATAAGTTAAATTTATTTGGGGAAACCCAACATAAGCCCAGTGTTTTGGTCCTGGTCCTAACAACGGTGTAGTACATTGACAAGATCTGTCCTCCCGCTCTTCAATTGTTATTACTTTGTGGTAACGCATGTTATTGTCATAAAAGTTTAGAAGTTGAGTGCAAATATATTTAAGTCACTCTGCTGAGCTTTTACAGTCCTCTAAACTTTTAATAATTACCATCATGTACAATTATTCCCTTTGATTTGATACTTTTTCATACTTTTTCAATAGATATTTTCTTCAGTTGGACCAAAACAGTCGGTCATGTGTCACTTCCGGCTGCCATCTTTCGCCATCATAGCTTCTCCCATTAGTGTCTCATGCAGCAGCTGATTGAGATATTGTTTTAATTGGGTAACGTCCTTGAGGAATTCAATCTTCACGTCATCAAATCAGCGGTAAGTGTAAGTGTGTAAGTGTAAGCGGTAACCTGCTGACGCTTTTTAATCAATACAAGACTTGAACGTTTGGTATTTAGCCTCAAAACAGAAGAAGAGCTAGCGTTAGCTAACTTTAGCATTAAACGTTAGCATGGCGTACTCCAGTATCACGTTTTATATTTAAAAGATGATTTATGCAACACGACAGCTGAGTAGCCTAAATAATGTCTCACTTAGATTGAATCACCCGTCACTGTTTGTGTTGAAGTACTTTCATCGCAAGTTTAAATAGGTTTTTAAAACGTTGTCCTGCGCTCCCACAGACCGGCTCTCTGACGTGACGTCAGAGGTAACTCAAGTTATGTTAAATACATTGTTTTGTTTCTGAGTCTCGGCACCTTTGCTTAAGTTCATGCATGTTAAGCTTGCATTAACAATTTTATTGAAGTAAAAGTAGTTATTCCCCTAATTTATGTACTTATACTTCCTAAATGCTCCTGGCCATGTTGTTGTTGGTTTTTACTAATAGTTGATGAATACATATGCTGCATTTTAATGTTGAAGCTGGTAATGGATGAATTTATTTAAATTGCACATTTGATATGCTTCATGTGCTTGCTGTGTTAAATTGAAGTAAATATAATATGGCTGTTTAATAAATGCAGTGGAATACAATAAATTGGAGTAAAAGTCTAGAATACCCCAAAAAATGGAAATACTCAAATATAAATATCTCCAAGTGTTTTGCCACCGCTGGTTTCAGCTGGAATCATTGGCTGTGAGCACCGGTCACAGGGGCGCAACATTTTAAACACATTTAGGTTCTGGTTGTTTTGACTGAAGTTTTTAGTGGCTTATAGTTCAGAACAAATTGCAGCGTTGAAGTGGTATGAGGAAGAGCGAGGGATTAGAGCGCCTGTCACAATCCATCCCTCCAAGCATTATTCTTCAGGCGCTGTTCAGAGGCCCATGGAAACCTGCATGTGTGTACAAAGGCGGAGAGGACTGCGTGGTTGTGTTGCTGCTTGTGCGTTCCCTCTTCCAACAAGGTCATCACGTAGACAGATGAAGGCGAGATGTGGAATGCCG